TGTCTTCATTTTGTAAAGCAGCCTTTTTGTTTTCCCCCTCTGCGTGACTCTTTCACAGCAGCCTTTAGTAATTTGAGTTCTCACTTTCTGGATGCTTTTCTCTTGTATTTTAAGTCAATCACTAACTTGCTGGCCAGCTTCTCATGTTCGGCTTCTTTGGCTTTTCCTGGCCCTGCTTTGCACTGGGACAGTTGGTACTTGTGCTCTTGTTGATCCTTATTTAAATATCACTCCTCAGACTTGCTTCCAATGGTATTTTGCCTGGAAGTTATCAAATTGTTTAAATTCACTTTCCTCAGTTGCACTGCCGTTTACTTGGTTGTTCTCAGTCCATAAATCTTCAATAAAAATGTGCCATCTCACACACATTCACATTTTCATCTGAAACAATCCTCCCCACTTCTCAGCTAATTCAGTTCTCCACCTTGTAACCAAATAGTTATTGTTTCTAAAGCATTCCAAGGGATCAACACACTGCCAGGGTTGGACTCAGCTGACTCAACACTGATGCCTTCATATGGGCAAGTAACCTAAATTCCCTTCTGGTCAGTGGAGAAATCCAGGTAGTTCAGAAAATACATGGTGAAGAAAAAGGTGAGATGAATGAAGCCTGAAAGCTACCTTTTGTCAGCTGAGAGGATGTCAGCTGTAAGACAGCAGGATGACTAGATTTGGATGAAATCTGGAGATAAAACAATGACTGCAAGAATGGTAAATAGGAAAAAGCAATTTACAGCAATCAACACTTGATAGAGTATGCCTATTCAGATAAAACACAAACTTTCTATTTCCAGAGCATGTATCACATGGGCCACAGCTACAGTTAGAGATGGTGTATTAGAAAACAACTCCAAGTGTATGGCAGCCACAATCCTTGGATCTAAACCAGGAAGCAGCAGTTGGAGCAATGAAGATTTATTTCAGCATAGGGAATTGGGGAGACTAATGTTGGAGAACAGTGTACAATTTGGGAAACCATATGGGTAAACTGAACAGAATGAGAAAAGAGGCACAGAAGATTGGGGGCTAGAGAAAGCAACTCGCATAGGAAGTTTCTATTTGGTTAGTAGAAAGAAGATTAAGTAGCAGCTTGAAGACAGAGCACAAAATCTATATTAAAATACCAGGTCACAAAAAAGCTTCATTCTTGTCGAGGAACATGCAGCAGGATAATGGCTGGAATTCAGAAGCCTAGAAACCTGGCAGGTTCAAAACAAATGCAAATGAAATCAGTCACCAGTGTCCACCCCGATGAGATCACTTACCTGCAGAAAGAAGCCATTCTTCTAGAGGGCATTGAAAAGCTTTACTTCAGATACTATCACCATTTTCTGAACAATACTTCATTTTATTTATGGTTGTCTCCCTACACCCTAGGAGTGCTCCTCCATCAGCACTCCTTCCTTCCAGAAAGGCAGCCCTGAGCAGACAAGGTTCAAAGACTAACTTGCACTTTCTGAAGCAATACAAGATGTTAATAGGCTTTTCAGTAACTATCTATTAGCCTATTGTATCACCTAGTGCAGGCCATAGTCCAATTTCTAGCTGTCCTGGTTTTACTTTAGTGGCCTTTGGAATATGTTTAAACAGACTGGCTGGCTCTCCTCCACTGCTGATCTGGACGTCAATGTGGAGCCCCAAATAAGAAGGGTTGTATTATTTTTGTTTTTCCCATCTAGTTTCAGCCCAAGGATGGCGATCCCTTGTTACACTGTACTCAAAGGTATACGCTGCCCTGTCACTACAGCTGGCATACAGCAGGTTCTGATTTACAGTATTTGGCTTTATTAAATACTCTTACATTCAGTTCAGAGCAAGGGCCTCATTTATACAACACTGTGCATCAGTCTGATGCTACGGACACTACACACTCAACATAAGAATGACTTACAGAAAAATGCTGGGTTCCCAAATAGAGTGCTTCATCTGTCAAATGAAGTGTTCATAGGTAACCTACCAGAAGCTTGATGAATACACCCATTAACCCAGCACATTATACCTAATTACTATTTAACTCATCTTTAACACGGAAAAACAAACCTTCTTCAGCACAGTGCTTTACTCTCACCCAAATGTACTGTTTTCATTTCCTGCTGCGCTTATCAGTGTATCACTTCAACTGCAGTAAAACCTGACCTCCTAGAACTGAAGTCCAGCAACATTTGTCTGCTAAAAGTTGATGGAGATCACCGCTGTCCTTGATCAAACTCTCTAATGGGTCTGTTTAAAGTTCATGTTGTTACCTCAAACCTATAAGTGAGGGAGAGAGAAAAGGGGGAAAAAACCACCCCAAGATACAGACACAAAGAGAATGTTTGAAAGAAGAGGTATTTATTACAAAATTAAATTCCAAATTGTACCTCATTTTCTGTATCTCCTGTACAAAATACACTTATAGCTCAAGGGAACATCCTCTCATCCACGCTGTTATGATGCAGTAACTGCACCTTAGTTAGAATACATTCAGTTCATGGACATATGCACACACACGCACATAAGCACACAGCATTAGTAAGGTTCAGAATGTAGGACAGAATTACTGCTACTCCAAACTCTTGCTGAGACAGGGGCCAGTTCTCCAAGGATGCCTCTAAACAGTGCCTCTTGTAAAACACAATGAACTCACTTGGCAAAGTTTTAGGACCTATTACAAATTCAGCAGGAGTGTTTTATGTGCTAGTATGTCCGCTACCTCAGATATTGTGATAATCATAGCCCTTCACATTCAAGTAAAGCAACTCACAACCAACCATGAAACCAAGGTCTTGGTACTTTAAAGAAGACAGAGACAATTTTCAGTCCTGACTGCTTGTAGCTCATAGGCCTCTGAAGACAGCACATGTGCTATGGACATGGTGTTCTTATCCTCAGCCTTCCTTTTCCAGCAGAAAAGAGCCTGATGATGTTATAACAGTCCACACTTTTTTGCCTTCATGACACACACTTGCCAATATCTGGGGTAACTCACTGTAAAGGGCAAAAAACCAAACTTAAGTATATTTCCCAGCTGGCAGAGGCACAGGGCGCCACTAAGAAGATTTTCACATTGCCAGCAGTATCCTGAGAAGAAGAAACAGTGTTATCATGGTACCTGGGTGCAGAGTGCCAACCCAGAGGGTAAATCGTGCAGGCATGGCCTCTGGAAGCTAAGCCACTAAGCACGGCAATAGAGAATTTCAGGTAAATGCCTGGGTTTCCACACTGATAGCTAGTTCACTCTCAAGTCCTTTGAAAATGATTCTCAGAGGAATGCAGGAGGGGTCTATCAAATTACACATTTGTTTGCCTTTCCATAACAAGATTCTAGTTTTACTCTCAGTACATGTGACATCTATTCATCTGCTCAGGACACTAGGAGGTGTCCTGTCCTACCCCTTGCTCAGGCACCTGTAAGAAATGGATGCACAGCCCGAAAACTGGAGGAGAAGCAAAGACATTTCCTGTAGTTTGGCCATACTTGAAGAAGAAGAAGGAAGGAGGGAGAAACAAAAGACAGGTCCTGTCAGTGCCCTTTATATATCAATAAGCCCTCCCAATCAACACGGTAAAAGAAAACTGCAGACAAGAGAGTGGTGATGTCTCTCTCACCCACAGGCTTGTGAACAATGCTGGTAAGCAGTGCATGACATGAAGTCCTCCACCTCAAGCAAGAGCAACCTCAGCACAGGAACTGCTATTCAAATCTTCCTCACAGTCACAACTGTCTCATAGCACAAGTAGTCCAGATCCTGGAAATAGGCCAGTCCCTGCCGCTGGAACAGGTGTGTGCACTTGTGTCCTGAAGTGACTGTTAACAGGAGCCTTTTAAGATGGACGGATTGTCTAGGATGAAGCTAGATGAGCCCAAAGGCCTTCTATCTATCCTCCAAAAAGGTGAAAATAGAGTTTACACATAAAAAAGAATATAAACCAGGGAGTGTGGCAGCCTGCAGCTTTTTGTGATTTGTATCCACAGATACAATTTGATGAAACACTTTGACAGTGATAAAAGGAGCCCTGTCGAGCAAAGTAAAAGAGAGCAGCTGCTCCAGAGAACAGCATCTTCTGGCCTCGGAAAGTACCGGTAGCTATTTTCCACATGTGTTGGGAAAAAGGACTAATAAGCAGTTCTCAAAATTAATCTTAAGTCATTCCACGAGCACAAATGGAAAAACTGAACCGAAGCAGCCCAAATTCCGCTCAGAAAGCAGAATGCGCTGCACTCATTGCCTCACATCTGCACCACTCATACAGTTTAATTCAGAGTCAGTAACGGAATCCCAATTACTGTACTTTGTTGACCTCACAAAATGCTGGTTACCACGATGTTCCAGCTATGGCCTGACAGGGTTTGAGAATCAAAGACTGAGGGTCAAATTCTAACTAAAGTAATTTTTCAGTATTTTTCTCCTGACAGAAAATAGAGCAACATCAATTTACACTTTTTGAGAACACAACCCTTGGAGTCCAGAGGGTGCAGAGGAAATGTCTGCCCTCTAGTATTCAAATGTAGACCTTTGGGTACTTTTAACTCCAGATCAAATTAATTAAAAACAAAACAAAAAAACCCAGCAACAACAATAAAAACACACCAAAAAAAAAAAAAACCAAGAAAAAAGAAACCACAAAAAAAAACACAAACCCACCAGAAATAAAAGAGTGAGCTAGAGGCTGCTCCCTCTTGTGGAATAGCTAGATTTTTCTTCACTGTACGCCTTTGTTTCCTTACCAGCACACAAGGCTTAAGAAACAGATTAGTCTCAACACCCGTCAAGTGCTCTCAGAGGATTTTTGAAATAGCAGTCCTAAAGAAAAATAAACCTGAAACCTGGGCTTGTGCACAGGAAGGTGGGATGGGAGCATGACACTTGCCACCTTCAGCTGCCAATCCCCACACAAAAGATTGTTAGCAATAAAGGACAGAGGGACCCTGGCCAAAGGAACACACTGGCTCATCTTCCTCAGGCAGCTCCCATAAAGCTGACCTCTTCATAATAAGCCAAGTAACCAAGGTTACTGAGTCAATTTTTGCTTTCCCACAAATTTAATTTGATGAATAGTAGAAACTGCCATTCCAAAACACAAGTTTCTTAGGGATTTTTTGCTGTTAATGATAAGGGCAAGCATGTGATTGATTGTATGTGCTAGAAAAAACCCTGCACCTTAAGTCATGGCTTTGATCAGCTCTTCTGGCAAATCCTCCCCACGGCAATGGGACTACCTTAGGGAAAGCTCATATTCAGGATAGCAAGGTATTAAGCCGATAATCTCACCAAAAGTAGAAGATCCCAAATCACATTGCTACAATGGCAGCACTGCACTGTCTGCCAGCCACACTGCCAACAGGTAACAATTCACAGCTGCTGTCAGATCAAGCAGGATGTGTAGAAGTTTGCAGCCTTCTCCCTCATCCTTCTTGCATATACATCACCTCTCTGAACCCCTGGCTCATGCAGTGGGAGCACTTCCTGCAATAGCAAGTGGAAAAGAATCATCAAACCCAGTAGCTAATTAGCACAATGACTTCCCACCATGTATTACCAGCAGATGATTAACATAAAACCTTTAGAATCAGAGGCATTGGTCTATACCATCTGAGTTATTGTCCATAGGAGTCAACTTCTGGAGACAGATGTGACATACCAAGCCAGAGCCTTACAATAGCAAGCAGCTGCCTTATTGAAAAATGCTATGGATCTCTATTAAAAAGGAATGAAAGCAAGTCTGACTAGAGGCTCAGTGCCCCACACAGAACAATTATGCTAATGCTGCCCTTCTGTGTTGCAAGAAATACATGATAATTCAAGATTTGGTAAGAGAAGTGAATGCACAATTCATGCTTAAAGACAGACATGCTCACCTCCTTCTCTCGCTGTACCTGTAATTTTGATGCTAGGTTGAGAAGCAGAGCAAGAAATGAAAGGCTTCAGTTCATTGAAACATACACAAAAGAGTTCTGCAAATATTACTTGAGACAGGAACACAGCTGGAGTCTTAAGTGTCATTCATGTTGGATGCTACAAGATAGCAACCTTGAACTGACAAAAGTTAAAAGAACAGGAGGTGGAATAAAAGGAACATTTACAAAAATGGACCTAACACAGGAGAAAGGCACCTGATAAACTTAATTCTGCTTTCTTGGAAGGGGAGGATTCAATATCCAATGGCTTTTGACTCTTAACAGACAAAGAATTTTTGTCTGGCCTTGCATTTCCTTCAATAGGGTAATTTAATGTTCAGCTATCTATGAGAGGTAACATGCTCAATATTGGAATACAGCGAGCAGATACTGTGGCACTGACAGACAGATATGCAGATGCCACATTTATTAAGGTGAAACCTTTCCCCTAAAAGCACAGGTACTGGCACTGGAATAGCTGGGATCAAAAGATGAATGACAGCTGTCTGTAAAATTTCAAGCTGTCATTTCAGACTCTACAAAAGCCACAGGCGTCTGACCTTCACAGCATGCTGGGGCAGAAAATAAATCACCTGCTATTTCCACTGTAATTCCCTTGGCAGTTTCAGACAGAATTTCAAAGAAGCTACAAAGTGCTGAGCTGGAACAGTCTGGCTCTGAGCACAGGCCTGTTAGGTGGTTAATACAAAATGATTAAAGGTAACCAAAAAAGCAAGGCCGTATAGAGGGATAAACTATCTCCACCTCCTCTGTCTGCAGAGGGTCTGTGAGACAGGCAAGGCACAGTGGCTCAGGGGATTTCAAGCAAACCCCTTCCAGTCAAATTCTAAAACTTCAGGGTCAGAACAAAACCCACCGACAGCAGGGCAGGGAAGAATGCTGGTCCCCACGTACTTACAGGAAGCTTTCAAAAATCTCACCATAAAAAAAAATGTTCTTAATAATAAAAGTCCTAATGTCCCAGATGCTGTCTCACTGTAACAGTCAGATTACACGAAGACACACATACAATCATGCAACTACACACAGCCTTCAGCTTGTACGGGTCTGACTGCTGGAATACCACTGCTGTTTGACTGATAGATATTGCTCAAAATATTTGAGATTTAAGCAGCCAGTTGTCCAGGAATATAACCTAAGGTTTCAGGACATGAGTAATTTTAGGAGGACCTTCTCACAGTCATCCTCTGCATCTTCCAATGCAGGCAGTGCAAACAAATGCCAAAGCAACAGGGTTCTCCAGAGAGAGAACTTTACTATCACATGTCTCCAAAGCACCAGAATCAGCCTGACATGCAGCAGATCTCATGCTTCCCATCCACTGTTCCCAGGTTCCCTTTGCTGGCTCTAGAACTCCCAGGAGTCCATCCACCGTAGCCCTGCCATGGGGCTGCTAGGGTCAGAGGCCATGGGTCCTACAATCCCATAGGACAGAGGATGGAAGAGGTAGAAGCTGTGGAAAGAAACCAAATGCCCATCAGGGACCACAGAGTTTTCTGTTTCAAGAACATTGCGGCAATTAGTTCATACAGATGTCCTACAGGACCTTTGGTTTTGGGCTGCTCTAAGCTCCACTGGGGACTTCCTAACCTCTGCTGAACACAATATACACATAGTACAGTTATCACAGGTGGTATTTTCTCTTAGAAAGCAACAGCTTTGGAGAAAACCCTGCTGAGGAAACATACAGCTATGAAGAATATGCCTGTGTTTGAGGGACCTGGCACCATCCAGCACTGGGACTAGAACCAGAAAACATTGAACTGTGGGTTTGGGGAAGAATAGTGTTCACACTGAGTGCTGGGATAAAAGACATTCCCTGCAATGGAAAGATGTTCCATAACACACTACTGGGACACAGATACTGAATTTTATCAAATTTGAGGGTTTAGGATTGGGCTGGATAATGTCTGACAAGTTCAGCAGAGAAGAAAGAGACAAAGGCTAAGGATAAATAATAGGCAGTAAGGCTTCCATTAAGGCAGTGACTATCACACATTCAAGAGAAGTTCAGTTTCAGCACTCACCTGTAAATGATGAGCAGAACCAGTGCCAGGAACCCTGCTCCATATACTTTTCTAGCTGCAGTGCTGGGTGACCAGAACCCAGCAAAGAACTTCAGTAGTGTGTCCCAGGTGATTCCTAGGAGAAGAAAGAGATAGAAGTCAGAAGCAATACAGAGGCCAAAGAACAGACCTGCTACATTCAGTCATAGACTGGGCTGACAAAGCTCTGTTACCATCATAAAAGCTTGTCAATTTTTAAATTAATTCATCTTGGTAACCTTCAGAACTATAGGGTTTGTTTTGGATCAGGAGAAGGTTCCTTTATCCTACCTTTCCATCTGAATAAATGCCAGAGAGATCTGTGCCCCAGACGCTAACTAAATTGGTACAAAACAATGTATAGGAAAACCTACCAAGACTGAATTATAAACAGATATGACAGAAAAGTGAGGGCAGCAAACAAAGGGAAATAACTTGTATAAAAACATATATAAGAACAGGGAAACAAGAGAGAATAGAAATCACATCTCCAAATTTAAATGCCCTAAGCACTAGATATGACTGCCTCTTCAGGGTAGTAACAAAAAAAAAAAACAAGACAATTTGGCACTGCAAGCTGCTTTGTGAAAAACATTTTGAATTAGTCAGTGTTTTCAAGAGCTTTGCACAAGCAAGCAGAAAACCTACATATAAAAAAGAATGCTTAGTATGAAAACATTCCATTTAACAGGATTTCACTTGTTTTTCTGCCTTGTCTTCTCCCACACTCTAGTATTTACCTGTCAACATGCTGGAAAAAAGCATAGCAGGGAAGTAGTGGTGAAAGTACAGAACTCGTCCCATCATAAAAAAAGGGAGATAATGAAGGAGCCAGCCCAGCATGATCTGCCCTCCACCATGTAGCACAACTCTGGACAGTTCTGGAACACAAATAAACAGAATTCAGCAGAGAAAATCTCAGCAACAGTTCCTATTTGCAAACCTTATCACATTAAGTAAACTCTATGTTAAGACCAAACTTACAGTTTCTCAGGACATACGTCAGACTAATCAGGTCATGCCAGTTTCTAGTGTTTTTTATTCTTTCCGCAATGAAATACAAGCCATCCAGATGATCACTTTGTCAGCCTTTCCTGGAAAGAAATGTTGCCTCACTTTCAGAGCCTGGCGAAGGGACTGAGAGCTCTGGTGTCTGTGTGCAGCTTAGCCAATACCTTATTGTATAATTGAATTCATGGTTTAGAAGAATTTCTACAAAAAAGTGAAAGAAGCAGACACTGATCTAAACTGGAATGGTCAAAGTATGACTTACTAGGGTTTGTGAAAAGCTCTGTGATGTTGGCATTGGATGCAGTAAAGAATCATTATAATAATAAATTCATCTCTTGTATTCTATGATTCCATTTGTCATCTGCTTTGCATAAATATCAGGAAATGTTTCTCATTTCAGAACACCACGCATAGCACAGTAGTACAGAGCACATCCAGAGCTTGAGAGCAGAGCATTGATCCAATTGGTCTGTCTCCCTTACAGCCAATACAGGCAGCTCTTTCCAGTATGTTTTTTAAGATCTGTCCTGTTCACTATTAACCTATTTGAGATATGAAGCCCTTTTCCTTGTGGATATTGCTTAATAACCCAAGCTCTGGCTTCTCATCCTTGGCACACACCTGTTACCCACACACTTTTAAGGTGCCTGTAAAAGGTATTTATGAAAAGGAAGCCTATTACCAGTAATATATGTGGGATAAATATCTCTACTACAAAAAAACACCCTGGAAGCCTGCAAAGCAGAATAGGCTAAAACCCACGGGACCAGTAGATCTCTGCATCAGGAAAGTTTCCCTGACCTTTTCCTACTGATACGTCCAGATCAAATATAATCTTTCTAACAGATACACACATCTGGTCACTTCTGAGCTGCAGTAATCAATGTAACTGACAGCAATTGTGGCCAGCACCTTGGCTCTTCAGCAGTTCATAAGCAACTCCCATGCTAGGATGGGTGATCACTTGCAAAGCGGAGCTGGTATGCGAGCTACTGACTAATCCAAGCCATTGTCTCTTGCAAGCAGACCAGGTAGGAAAAGCCTCCTGGGACTTTTATCTCTGGATCACTTTAAGATGCCAGTTTATACCCATTCCTGCTCTGAAATCTTCAGCAAAGGAGGGGTAAGACTTTTGAGGAGCCACTGATCACATTACTTGCCTATGCAAATATTCCAGAGCTTTTCTCTTTGTCTAAGTAGATGTTTCAGGGTCCCTGCTGACTTGAGGATTTCTGATAAAGTCTTAACAGGTTTAGGAAATTTGTAAACTTGTCAGGAACAGTCTGCCATGCAAAAAGTGAGAATTGTGAGAGTTGTTCAGAGTGATTATTTCTTGTATAAAACCCTTTGTTCAAAGTCACATCATTCAGTGCTGCACTTTCAAAGCACTATATAGCTTAGTGTTTAGTACATACAGCTGCCTGGAGTGTATTTCATTCAAACCACAAGGTTTTAATACACTATAAATAAATAGAAAAAAATAAAGATTTTTAATTTCAAGATGAGCTTCTCCATATCAGAAAACAAGGATGTTATAATAAAGATTCTATAGTGTAGGCAGGGTAAGAAGACTGACCTCACCTTTGAGTTCAGACGTCAGCTGGACACCTCTCTTCAGGGCCACTGCAGTGGAAACTGTTATCAGAAGATACAGTACAATAGTGATGAGGTTTAGCCACCAAATCACCTACACAGAGAAAAAAGATTGATTTGAGACTAGGTTGGACATGTACATGTGAGAGGAAATTAAAAGCTACATGGAAGCATAAGAGTACAACAAGAGAGACAGTCCAAAAGGAGGAGGAGGAAGTGAATCACTGTCACTGGCAGAAGCAAGACTAAGCTAAACTTTGATGAAGAAATTGGCTTGGAACCTCCCACTCCAACTTACCGGGTTTCCCAGCAAATAAACCCGATAATCGGTCTCATTTACACCAGAAAAACGCAGGCCCTGAGGAAACAGATCAGAAGGGAATAAAATGGGTTTTCATCAGTCCAGTTTGTATTTCTCACAGTGTCAAAGGTGAAACAAATTCAAATTCCCACCTATGCAGCTCAGATGCTACAAACAAAGCTGACATCTTCAACAAAATTAAGAGGTGCTGTGCTTCAAGCAGCACAGCAAAAGCACATAAAGAAAGGTGGACTGATCAATATACCTGGTAGTTGATGGGCCAGTGCCAAGGTTTGGATGTAACTTCATTGTCCTTTGGTTTGAGGGCAGTATTTCCCTACAGGTAAGTCAAGATAAAATTCAAATGAGCAGGCAGTTATGCTGCAAAGCCTGCCCAGAAATGCCTGGGTACACAAACATACATGAATACTCTTCCTGAGTAAAGGCTGTTTTCTGACTACAAAAACACATCACCTTCCAGAGATGGCCACAATGAGCACAGTGAATGTTTTAATATTACTGTGCAAGTGAAAATGTTCTTTGGGTACCATTAGAGGAAGCATTCTCTCATTTATCTTCTTCAGCTTTTCTGTCACTGAGGACACATGTTGCATAAGCAAGACCTTTGTTCATTAAGAGACTACTTCGATAGGTTTCCCTCCACTCTGAAAAAAAGGCCTCAGAAAGATTATCTCCATGGAAACTCATGCAGGTGCTTCCTTACCTGAGACAGCATTATCACAGGTTGCCATGGAAATGTTAAGCATTAATAATAATTTGCTTGACTACCTTCTTTCTCTTAGGAATCTGAAAAGAGCTTTACAAACAGTAGCAAATAAAACCTTAAACTCCTTTCTCAAAATAGTAATTTCTCATTTTTCAGATAAAGGATAGAAAGCTGGAAGCAGAAGGGCTGTGGCCAAGGGCACAAAGAACAATCATAGAGAAAGAGTGCAACAGCAGTCCACCTCAAAAATATTAAACCCAGCTTTTTTTTCTTTTTTTTTTTTTAATACTCAGGGATAAACAGGGAAGAGGAAAGCAGAAAAGACAGCACCTTGATGAACTTAAAAAAAAAATAAAATTCAATTTTCAACCCAAACATTTATTGTTCTCCTGTCTGTTTAGCTCATTTTTCTAACTGACCACAGGAATATCCTCCTGCCTCGCAAATATTAATTTAACTTTAAAACCTTCCAATAATGTAAGGAAAATTTCCAACTCTCCTTTACAGAACTGAATTTCAGCAGTGGAGGGATTACATAAATAGGCAGCAGCTAGATCATACTAACAGCACAGCCAGGCATCAAGCCCAAGGCTACCAAACTTTTGGAAGATTTAGCTGAAAGACCATCCCTTTTTCTAAGCATAAATACATGTAGGTTGCTGAGGCATGTAAATTCTGGCCTAGCCTGCAGCTGTCACCCAGATATCTCAGAAAATGCTATTTCTTTCTGATGAAAGATAAAAGAAGGAGAAAAGTAATAATCTAGAATTAATGATACCCTACCTGGATCATAACCATATGGGTTTCTAGCAGAATTTCTGCAAAAGAGGGCTTCAAAACATCCAGGCTGATATTGGGCACTTCAGAAAAAGAGATAAAAATAGATTAGAAGTCTGTATGGTTTACTTTTATTTGCCTGTTTCATAATAAACTGAACTCTCTCCTCCTGTGACAAATCTGCTTCTAGCACCTTTTTTAATTCCCTGCGCAATTCATTCATATTCTAAACACAGAGGCTTGCAGTCAAAAGTATCCCCCAGTGAATTTCATAACTGATGTACTCCTAGATTTCCTTTACTTTCAGGAGCAAGAGAAATAGATAAAAGTCCATGAAATTAACAGATTTGTATTTCTAGCTGAAATCAGAGACATATTGTTCGTAAGCTGCTGTTTATCTGTAAATGAGCCATGAGTATGGGAATGTAAAATGCATTCAAAAAGAAAATTCTACCAAGTCAACAGTCCAGGATTTCTCTCCTTTGGTTTGCATACAGTTGCTCTGAAAGGTTGAAGAACATTAGTTTTTTTAATAACTCAGCCCAAGTCATCTGCAATTCATGGGATGAAAATTGTACCAAATTATTCAGGCCAAATGAGGCTGTGACACATATTTAACTCCTGGATGAGGATACAAGGCCCATCTGTCGTTACTGGCAAATCTGGTTCTCTGTCACACTTCTATTCATTTCTTGATGGTACTGCAAAGTCATTATTTAGCATGCCTCCAGTAAGAGAGGGAAGGACAGAACAAGGTGGATCTCAGCTTTTAAGAAAAAAAAAATAATCAAAGTATGTATGATATTTGTATATTGATCACAATAATTCCCAATAAATTATGTTAATAATATGTTAATATTATGTTAATAACAGCCTCTACTGCAGTGCCCATAAAATTACGCACTTTTGTTACCCATGAAGACCTCAAAATCCTTTAAGAAGTTTTAACACTTCGACTACATTTAAAGCGTTATCACCAGCTTACAGTACAAACAGTCAAGTGGAGAAAAGCTATGCATCTCTGAACAAATGGCCCAAGTTCAGCAAGATCATGCCTGATTCAGGAAAGAAACACAAATACCAACAGTGAATGTCAGTTCTTGCCATCTGATAGCTCATCCCTTTCTTTAACAACAAGCCAAGACACACTCTCAAATGAAAAGGAAAAAAATGACTTACACTTAGGGTTAATATGATCTTCAAAGTTCCAGAGGGAATTGGGAGTCTCCTTCAAGTATGGTGTGCAGGTGACTTCCAATTGTTCCCAACCCCTGAGGAACAGCAAAAGAGTTAGCCACCATCCTACAAATGATCATTCCATACTTCCAGCTCATGTCTGATTTTCTCCCCATTTACCTTTATACTTTCCCACAACACCTACCATACCACTCAACCTCAGCAGCTGCACTCTTACATGCTCTAAGCACTATGTAGAAAACAAACCAGATTTGCAAGGCAGCCAGCATCAAAATGCTACCAAATATGTGAACCACATTTGTAACTAACTTTGGGCATAGAAACTAAACCCCAAACCTATGCCTATACATAACTAATGCAACTTTTGAAGATGATGCACATTGACAACTAGAAACTATATCAAGCCAATCCTTACAGTCTCTCCGGAAGAAAGAGACCATCATTAAGTCAATCCATGCCTACAGCAACTGCATTACAGAAACAAAAGAATGACTTTAGAGGATCCCACCAACTGCTCATTTAGTCTGTCACTCTATTTCTAGCACCTTACATAGAAAACTTTGGGAGAAAGTGCATCAAATTCCACAGTAATGTAATAGCTTAATAAGGAATTTTCTACCAATCACCACATAGCAGACTTAACTCCACTACTTAATTAATTCCATTCATTAATCACCATTTCATTCTCTGAACGACAGCTATTACTACCCTTTAAATTCCTAAAAAATATATAAAAATCCAGTATACTCTACCCATCCTTCTTTGCAGTTAACAAGTACTTTTCCCCCCTCAGCTTTTAATGTCACCAATATTTTGCGGCAATAACTTCCATTCACAGGGTAAGTTTGTGTTAGGGGAAAAAAATCCCCACTTTTTTGAATGCTGTTGACAGAAGAAGCCATTTATTTAAAAAAAAAATAAAAATCACATTATTTACGCATGACCCCAGTGTTACTGATAAAGCCTAAATGGCACTTGCAGTCCTGGCCAGGCAGTCACCACAGGTATCTGCCCATGCTCACTATGATTCAGCATCCACAGGATTCCTTAGAAGCCCTTTTTACCATAACACAGTGAAGGGAAACCTAAGCTAGCAGTAATAGAGGCTGCTCTGGAAACAGAAGCAACATGACAGCACAGCCTGCTGCTTTAGGACCTGTGTTACCATCCCACACAGTACGATTTTGCGGATACACCAGCTTGCTTGGCATTAGTCTGGATGTCTCTGCATATACTTCATTTTAATGATGAAAATATATAATTCAAGGACATACTAAATCCTGACCCCTGCTCATATCAGCTTGTTACCGCTGCCCCCGCTTCAGATGTTGCATGCAAAAATGGCAGAAACTCTTCCAACCACAAAATAAATGAATACCAATAAAAAGAAATTTGTAAGATTCTGGTATGGAACAGCATCAGTTGCCCCAGTTTCCAGCAATTTTTGTGAACCCCAAGGATAAAATGGGCCTTGAACACATCTGTTATCCCCTCCTGGATTTAAGGGATATTATTTTTCAGAGCTCTATACCTTCCACTGTAACAAACTGCATAACCCTAACTCAGATCTTCTCCTCTGGTTATATTTGTAGTACCTGCTAGTTACTTTTTTATTGTTTTAAAGACAAAAAAAAATTGAGGAAATATGGTTATTGCTTAGTTTAAAAGTGCTATTGAGCAAAGGAACATGTCAGCTTAAGGCCTTCTAGGGGTGGAGGGAGATTACAAGCCGTTTACCATTTCGGCAGAATCTTTCCAGAAGAGCCCAATATACATCCCGTGGCCACATGGGTTAGCCGGACTTGACTCCGTAGTACTCTGATCAGCTTCTCAGCCTTTCTGCCTACCACTTCAATCCGCCAAAAATCATTGGAGTCTCCTGTTCCGTTCTATCATGCAAAAATGCCATAGGAGAAACAAACAAAACAAAACAAACCCCATCAAAAAAAAAAACCCACAAAAACAAAACAAAACACCAAAAACACCAACTAAAAGACGTATGTGATTGAAACACTGCAAACAAGAACTGCTGAAATTCTTATGGTGGCAAAGCTAAACAAAGGAGTCCAGGCTACCCTCGCTCAGACTTCACAGAAGAGATTCCCCATCAGGAAGAGATGATTCTAGACATGAGCAACCACTCACAAATACATCTTTATCTTGCCAACCTTAAATATTTTTGCTTCCAATTCATCCTTGACTGTGGCTCAAAGTTACATTTTAAACAGGGCTAACTTGGCAGCTTCACAAAAGGGGTTCAGGCAACAACCTCTTGCAGTTAGAAATTCAACCCTCAAAGCAGATTTCATTTTTGTGATTCAAAATTCTGTCACCATTCTGTCAAAAAAAAGGCACTTGTCTATGTGACAAGGCCAAATACATAAAATAATACTTGTCAGAGCAACTTCAAGGTTGCTCAGCTTGGCATTTCAGGAGCTGAATACTGCCAAAGCTCAACTGGCAGTAAAAGCTTAAATTATTTTCTTGTCTGTGTTCACATTACATAGACCTTAAATATGAGAAGTTATTTCATACTAAATCAGTTTTTTCTCCAGTACAGTACACTATCATTAATGTACATGACATAATTACATTAATGTACATTATCACCTTAGCTAACAAACTAAAAGACAAAGAATAAAACCTCTTGGCCTGGTATGAACTTTCCCCAAAAGAAGCTTTTGTTTTATTTTGCCATTCACTTACTATTCCATAGGCAGTGACCTGAAAATGCTTCCTTGTCAGGGGAGCCTCATGCTGGTGACTGTGAAGATTTCTAGAAGTTCTGAAACAAAGTTAAAAGTCAAACCTTGTTTTGCTTTTACATCTCAGTCAATTTGTGACAAGAACTCTGGTTTGAGCCATTCAGAGAGCTGTTGGTGCTTTGACCACCAAATTCCAGCCTAGGGCAGGGCAGGATGCAGCCTTAACAGCAATGGGGTCCACAAAGTGAATCTGCTGCTTCCCACCACGCAACTCTGAACTTCTGCTACACTGGGCAGGGCTCGAAAAGGAAGACAGCATGAATAAATCCAACCCTCAAGCAATAATCCACTACCTTTGAGTGGAAAAGCCATTGCTAGGGTTTTTTGGGTTTTGTTTTGGGGGTGGGTTGTTTCTTTTGTTTGGGTTTTTGGTGTTGTTTTTTTTTTTTAAATGAAGAGTAAAAATGGGACTTCTTGCAAGAAGCAACGCCAGACCCTGACCTCTCTTGATTATGGATTTTACTTTTGAGGGGAAAGATTTTATGACTTGGGCACAGATCTACTGAGGGGGGAATCAATGGCCCCCATTAGCACCAGCTGTACATGGTGCAGACAAACAGCTTCCCATCCTAACCAGGACCGCTAAGTGAGGCAGCCAGAAAGACCTGGCCATACCCTGGTCCTAATAAAACCTAATAAAACCACTCAAACAGCGGACCCCCATCATCACGAGTGCAGCAGCATCCAGCCCGGCCTCATGGGCACAGACACCCTCTGCCCATGCTGGAGAAGGCTCACACACAAGGGGACGAGCGCTATCTGCCGGATCTTTTCCGCAGCACCACAATTCCACCTTCCAATCTGGAGGCGTCAACAGGAAGTAACCAGTATTGCCTAATCAAGATTTTATCATCTTCATTATCAATTACTTGATAGTATACTCCACAATTCAAGACTTTTTTCAAGACTTTTTTTTTTTTTTTAAACTCTTAAAATCACTTGGGAAATCTAAGCAATGATTTGTGAACACACGATACCAAATACAGTATTTCCAGGCTGACAAGTTTAGACCTCCCATTAAGAAATCAAAGCTGCAACAGCACAGGGCATTGTGGCTCAGTGACATTAGTCAGATTAAGATTAAATACCAAGTCACCAGGGTTACACTGCTTCCTCTCAGGAACTCCCTACTTGATGATCTTAAAGGTCTTTTCCAACCTAGTTGATTCTATGATTCTATACTACAGAGAGGGAAGACACCAGCTGACATTCTTGTTCCAAGTGTTTCACTGGATACTGCCTATACACATAGGACAGGATACTTGCAGTATGCTGACAAAAAACCCCACACTAGAAAACTTAGAGAGTGGAAACAAGCAAAACAATACGGTTTTTGAAATTGCTTCTTTGTAGAAGAGTTACCCTTAATATGGCACCTCACACAGCTGAACAAATCCCTTTTCTGCTCAGGAAGGTATTTTTAATGAAGTTGTGTGGTTCTGATGAAAGTTTTCCACTTGACAGACACCTTTCAAAGCACAAACCACAGAAGAAAAACTCCACAAACCAAACACTGGAAATGTGGAAATACAGACACCTCTGCCACACATCCTGCTTGTGCTGGCCTAACAATGTAGTCTCCAGCAGAAAAAGTCTCCCACCAATTCTGTTCAATCATGCAATATCCTTGAAACCCAGAAATCATCCTTACTCTTTATGTTCCAGACGAACAATATCTCCATGCCTCACAAACTCCACAGGGATCGAGGGGTCTGACAGATCTGCTGAAGGAAGGCAACCTTATCATATCAATGCACTGACAAACATATCAGGATCTTACAAAGTTTCTTAGGAATTCTCATGCCTCAGGCAGACAATACAAGGCAAACAAATCTGTGTCGACTCTGTAAGCCTGGTGTAAACCACTGCTCTAGTTTTAAAGAATGCTGCTCCAAAGAACATGGCCCCAGGCAGCACATACTGCCCGTAAAGAGGATGCCTGGTCAGGATAGCACATACAAAAAAATAAACTATATATATATACACACATATAGTCCATGAACTATAAAATTACTCTTGCAACACTGATTCTGATTATGTTTTATCTAAGTTATCTGCATTTTTTATTGTTTAGCCAGTTCTTGGTTTTATATGCACATGCTGCAGGTAAAGAAAGGAAACTCTGCTAAACATGCCTCAGCTATACTATGTAATATTCTAAAACAACAGATACGTGCAAACCATAGATCTTCATATTCATTAATATTATCTTGCCTCAAGCAAGCATTCATACAAATCAGTTAAACATAATGTATCAGAATTCTCTAAGACCCACAGCCACAATAACAGATTCCACAAAATATTAACCAAGTTCAGAATAATTTCCTCTGTTATCTGCAGCCTTACCTAGGTGAAAAGTTGTTAACACAACCTTTAGCTAAGAAAATCTTATTTACTTTGGCTGCACAAAATACAATAGATAAAACCAGCAACTGTCAAGATGGAACCGTATTTCCCTTGTTCTTTCTCCTCTGCCCCTCATATCCATGAAGGATACTTTGCACTGGAGGGAACTCTGAATATTTAAGTGAAAACTGAAGCAGCAGTTATAAAAGGCACTTTACTGGCATTTGTTACCTGTGTCTGAATCATGTTTCTTTATAATCCAGAGGTTATTCAAATCTTTATGTAAGTAGGCAGTGACCTGAAACCACATGATGTATTATTTTACCAAACAAGAAAAAAGGTGGTGATGGCAAACACACACTCACCAGCAAACTGAAGTCCCAAATAAATGCACCAATAACATAGAAAGCCTGGTGTTACTTTTATGACAGTGCCCCCTAGAAAGGCCAATCCTTAACCCAGATCATACCTTTTACTCAGTGTATAGCCCCTTATGCTTAATGGTGGTTCACATGCATCACAGGTACCAGCCTCCAACCATTTAGCTTGACCTCCTCTCACACTACTTCAGAGGCTCCTTCTACAACACAATATCCAAACCTGAACTTTCTGAATAGTCACTGACCAATACCAGAACGAGAAAACTGAAACAGCACTGGCTTTGCAGACAGCTGTCACTGGTAGAGATGTAAGACAACAGGCTGCCTGTGACAACTTCTGCCAAAAGGTACAGGCAAGGCAAGAAGGAATTTGGGACCAGCTGTTAAAGCCACACATACTACCCAGCTTATCCTTACTGACCTACTCAGCCTCACACAGAGTAACTGCTCTTACTGCTACCATGGGCAGTGGAAACCATCTGGCCCCAGGATGCTCCTCCCAAGGGCAGCCTTCCTGAGAAGCAAGGGGAACTGTGCTCACCTTGCTCACTCTCCTTTTCCAGCAGCAACAAGGCCTGTTCTGTGAGACCCTAGCCTAGGCTCAGATCTGTGTCCCCCACTGAGGTGGAAGCAGATGGCCCAGTGAGACACAGAACATACACAAGTGTCTGAGGGTGGGGAAAAAGGGAGAACTAGAGGTGGAACCTCATACCTTGAGGTTTTATCATCAGGAAAGGAGACAAAGGAGAAAGCAGTTTTATTACAGTCTCCATATTTTACTCCCTAAATCTCCTCTAAGTTATGAGCTCACTTCCCTTCTCCACAGCCCCCAGACTCTCATAGTTCCCTTCTGTTGTCCTGCCTCCATGGCACAGGGGGGGAAAATCTCCACCCTTTCTCACTTACCCTGCAGGAAACTCCCATCAGCATTCTCTTCAAATACCCCCTTCCCTGCTTTTAGTATCATAAAGCATGCTCTGCACTTGAATTCTGTCTATCTTTGAGCTAGTTTTGGTATGACATCTCCATCTATGGTAATAAATGTCAATGTCACATGAGAGTATTAGAACTTTTGTTTGGGAAGGACAGCAGGAAAAGAATATTGAGACAAAGTTTTAATTTCTGGAAACTTCTTTCTCATCACAGTGACTGAAAGGAGTTAAACACTTGCTTTCCTCTAGCAACTTTCTTTCAAGGAGCTCAGAACAATTTTTAGACACTAACATGCAAACTGCAAAATATATCTTGGGAAAGCTGCAGAAACTACAAAGATTTGTGAAGCTTGATGGTGATAGACAAAAATAAGAAATTAATATAAAATTTGTACTACTTAATTAGCAATAGTTATATGATTTCTGATTTTTACTTTGATTTACTGCTTAATCATTTAATCAGAAGCTCTAATTTAATGAGTAAAGCCTTACAGATTCTTTGTCAATGGATGAAGAAAGCACAGCACAAAAGGACAGTAATTCACGTAAGGTCACAGAGGCCAGTGGCAGGAGTGAAACAACATACAGCAGTCCTGTTGCTTTTACAACACAGCATTGAAACCTACGATAAATTAATTCTGTTTTAAACATAAGTTTTACAGCCTTCTTTGAGGTAGCAACAGCACTTTCAGTATGGAGAATTATTTTTAAGTCCTCTCGCCTCAACCTATGGATCTTGCTACAACAACAAAGCCTTGTTACTTTAAGTCACCTCTGCAGTGCAATGTGGTAGGCTCTCTTCTAGCATCCTTTTTACTTAGACTTCCAAGCCAAGTGCACAGCTGTGACACTGAGAGGGTAACAGATGCTGAGTAAATACATAGGTCCTGTCACAACAACCCTGAACAACATGGGCAGTGGAAGGGAGCTACAACCATTGACTACAGTGACTGCAGTCAAGAGGCAATGCTACCACAGCACACTAACCTGCTGCTGGCGGGCCCCAATACCCTCTGGGTAGAGGTGCCAGTGGGAGTGAAGGTATCCCCCTGCCATTCGGAGGTTCTTCAACGTGACCACAGATCCATATGCCAAGTCTACAAGGGAAGGAAGAAAGAAGGCATGGCACCTCTCCTACAAATATCTTCCCCAGCTAGTCTGCAGTGCTCCAACTAGGCATGCATTCTCCTGTTTTGTTTTGATGAAAGCCTGTTTCCTGTTTGACACTTACTCCACACAGATCATTGCAAGCTTATCTTCCATTCTCAACCACAATTCAGTAAAACCGTTACATAACACTTGGCTGAAACACTTAAAATTCTCCCACCTAGTTTTAATAAACAAGCTCTACTTCTTTTGCATGCAACACAAGAGGAAAGGGAGGCAAGCTCAGCTATCAGATAGCAGAGCTGATACCCTAGCTTAAAACACCTTCCTACATAGCCTCCCAGCACAAGCGAGAGAATAGTGCTGGAGAATGCTCTCCCACTAGCAGCTCTGGAGCAGCGAACAGTCAGAGAAAAACTGAAGTAATGAGAAAGCTAAACCATATTAAAGTTTGTTCAATAGTCCCTAGCCAACCTGAGGATCAGACAACCACAGAGCCATCCTTCCCCTAAATTCATATGCCTGCTGAATACAGCACTGCTGAACCAGGAGCACGCTGTGTCATTAAGGAGTTGAGAGTTTTCATCTTTTCATTAACGCATATTTTGGAAAAAAATCCCACATCTGACCACCTACAAACCTAAGATGAACAGGACAGATCTTTTTGTTGTCTCAAGCAACATAAAAGCCAAAAACTAACAAGACGCATGCACACAAAATTCAAATCCTTTAAAATGGCATCTTTCCCTCTAGAAGGAATATGATGAAACAGGTAGTGACCACGTACTAAACACGGTGTTCTTTTCAGCCTTTTTCTTTTCTGTTTATAAGTAAAACTGCATGGAAGAGCAGCATGGATCTGACCAGGAAGGCATAATCTGCACTGTCCTGCACTGAGTCACAGGAGATGATGGTTTTATTTAATCCCCCCCCTACATTGACAACATTCAGTGGTTTCTTCTTTTGGATACTCACGCTCTGGAACGGAGATATTATGAAGATTGTTCCCAATCAGCTGGGACTGAAACGCTGAACTGAAGAAACCATCCCCAGGACCACTGCAAAAGAGAGCAAAGAATGTTAACAATTCAGTCTGAAAACAGGCATACAAAGTTCTGTCATGTGTGAACAAATTGTTTTTACAGAAGGAAAACAATAAAACCAGATATGGCATCAGGAGAAGAATGACTGCATCTCCCTTAGATGCACACATCTCAAATACTGTGAATCACAGCAGATACAGTCTTGCAGGAAATTGCCCAGAACTGCAAAGACTTGAGGTCACAAAAATGTACACACTGACCCTGCACAAAGCACCATCAATTATCTCTGGAGGTGTTCTTATGACAAGTAAACTGACCCACTAGCAGCTTAGATGTAACAAAGCCTCTCTTTGTGGCTCCTTAAGTGTCATTTCTGCTAAAAAGTTAGTGGTAGACCAGTTGACTTAGACTGAAAAAAAGAGGTTTATTTTTATAATCCTTTTTTATGGTTAAACACTTATTCACCTCATCTCTTAATGCTGGCATATGGAAAAATATTGGCAATTTTACTAGCTGTTGTGCTCTTCCCACATAAAAAGAATCCCCTGGTTGCAAGCATTCAGAGAAGAGTTCTCCCTTCCTCCCTTTGGGCACATTCAGACTTACTTTTTTAACCACAACCAAAGGATTTTTCAGGAATGCAGCGACTTTTTTTTTTTTTTAATTACAAAACAGAAAAAAAAAAGAAATTAAAAAAAAAAAAAAAAGAGAGAATGGAATGGAATTGAGACATTTTCAGGTCCAAGAAAGAGAGGAGGAAAAGAAGGAGACAGAGAGTTTGGTTAGAATTCTTGCTTGGTGTTTCAGAAAGTCTCAAGCTCAAATTCAGTTTCACTGCCAGCTTGGCCAGAGCCTTTCTGTAAGAACAATGCAAGAGTTTGGGTAGGGAATTAAACAGACACAGCTTGTGGCTGTGATTCTGACACTAAAAGCAGAGAACTCCATAATGAATAGCCTTTAATTCGAAGCAAAGACAAGTGATTCTTCTTCTGGAGAAAACATTGTGAAATACCTTTTATTTAACACTGTAAAATGAACAGCAAACATAGCCGCGTAGAGGACAAGCGGGAGCAGGATGAGGCAGAGTACACGAGCCAGTAAATGCTTCCCAAACGTGACCTGTAACAAACACAACCTGGATCAAACAGTGAAGCTGCAGAAACAACTCCACTCCTTATTTCACAGTACTCTAATAGTGGTCCTATAGTCTGCCATGCAAGCAAGCTCAGCAGGTTGCAGAATTACCTCAAAAAGGCCTAGAAAGAGGTAAAAGCTTAGGCAGACTTTGCTACACATCTTCAGAAGCTGAAGGTGTGGTGCCTTGAAATTTCAGGGTCTTGGGAAGAAGACAAAAAAAGGCAATAGCAGCTTTTAACTTTCCAAAGTGCTGACCATTCGTAACTTTGGCAAAGGAGGTTGAGCAGCTCCCATATCTCCCATTGGCAATATTTTGAAAACAAGGACCTTAATTTATCACTGGCACACACCTTCACACTGTTGTTGCTCAGTCAGAAGTCAGCAGCAAAACCTGTGTTTCACCTGCCTCAACATGAAAGCAGAGTATTTTATTTAAATCACCTAGAAAGGTGGTTTGTACACAAATGCCCAAGAAACATGTGGGAGAAGAAAACAGTTAAATACTAAAAATTTTTGCTACATGTCCATATGCAACTTCAAAGCAGATGAAGGCAAATGTATTTGCTATCCTCAATATTTTTTTACATGTTACCTATCATCCTATCATTAAGCTAATCATTTGCCACCCCTCAATACTAGATCCAAAAATTTCAGGAGTAATGGGAAAAAAGCTAAACACATTACAAAACTAAGAACTCACTGAAGTCAACAAAATAAACAGCTTCTCAGCTCAAGTACTTCAGCAGAACTTAATAACCACTGAGCATTTGGCAAAATAATGACTGATGGTACTTAACCAAATTTATGCAGAGGAGAGGCACATGAACTAATCTCCAGTTCCCTGGTCAAAACAACCACAATATGTTTCAATCTTTGTGAAAAGTTTTTCTCTAACTACAGACTTCAATGCAAAATCAAAAAAGAGAATGCAACTGAAAGCATAGAGCAAAACAGAACAGTGGACCAAGATAAGCTGAGCATTCTAGAAACCAAATTAGTCCCCAAAACATTGCACGTAAATAATCATGAGTAGTTTTCTAACAAATGCAGAGATAAGTTATTCAGGCTTTCAGAGGTTTAATCGTCACTTTTTTTCCCCTCTCTTCCTCTCCTCAAGCACCAAGGTTGCCAAAGAGTTATTCAGAGAGCATCTACCTTCTGGAGTAAATTTCTTTACATATTCTAACACTCAGGGGCTTGCTGCCTTTCCTGCCAGCAGCACAGATGAAATCACTGTGCAGCTGTCTGCTCGCAGAAAGCTTAGACATGATGGATTTGTTCAATTTCAAATGCAATTAACTGACTTTGCTCAAGAAGTGCTTCTCCAGAGCTGGAACACTGCATCTTTGCAGCCCATATTGATTCACATTAATCAGAGAAAACAAATCACACAGTGGCAATAGAAGCCCCCAGTACCCCCACTGTTTATGAGACAAACAGGAAAAAAAACATAAGTGAAAGAAACAGAATTTAAGCTTCAGAAAAGGCTGAGACAAGAGGAGAACTGAACATCTTTTAAAATATGTGCTTGGAGAATTTATTTTCCTGCTGGTTGCAAGACAACAAATGGAACATAAAGGTATTTCTCCAAACAGCAGATTTCACAGTCCCAAAATACAAAATGCAATATTAGAACAAGGCACTCAAACACACTAGCAAACTTACAGCTTGTAAGAACTACATGTGTGTGAAATCAAGCAGGCTATAGCTGCTTTCATCCTCAGAACTGGCTATGGAGAATGCAAGTTACAGAGCATTCCTATGACTGATGACAGACTATAGCACACTACTGCTATACGGCCCATGCCCCATATTCTCATGAGGCAGAGCCAGAGCTTGCACTGCTTATGCAAACTCAGTGCTGCATGACATGGCTGTCTGCCAGGTAGCATGTGCTCCTCAGAAGGTCAGGTAACAGTGCTGGACAACATCTTGCTTTGGGCCATTGTACAGCCATTCCCAATGACCATTTTTAGCCTAGACTGAAATAAAATTCATCCAACTGGAAAGGAAATAGTTTATCTGGGGAAAAAAATGACTTTTTTGCTGTGCTCTTATGACATTATACCCTGCTAAAGCATGTTCGGGTTGTGGTTTTTCTTGGTTTGTTTTTTTTTCAAATGTATGGCAATAGTTTTTCCATTATAACCTTCATCTTTAATTAGCATCGCCCACCTCAGATAGCCCTGTTTGTACAGACGGAGTACTGCTAGTTACAGGGCTGTCAAAGACTAGGGGAATCATAAAGCAAACAAAACAAAGAAACCCTTAACATAAAGAAAAGGTTTTGACACTCACCAGTGACAGGCTGAGGTTCCCCAGCAAGTCCCATAGGTCATGCATTGTGTTCAGGCCAACCAAGAGGACTACGAAAAGGCCCACAAACTTTACCCCCATTGCTCCAGCAAGGTTCATGCCAGTGAGACTCATCCAGAACCACCAGGAGGCAGAAAATGGCCTGCAGAACAGATAGAACACTCAGTGAGTAACTGATGACTACACGTACCAGCATCTGCAATCAGGAAAATAAACAGCAAATCAGTTACCCTGCAAAATTACATTCCATCTTCTCAGGAGCCCATGAGGAAAAGACAGACAAGTTTCTCATTCATTTTAGAATGATGCAAGGACACCGGCTTCAGATACAGGCTTGTGAAGGCAGCCCTAAACCTTCCTTTTAAGGAAGAAAGCACAGACACCAGGTATAAGCTAAAATACTAGTGTGAAGAAAGACTGACATGTGGAAGGTCTGAAAACAGAAACAGGACTTCTGCTCCATAAAATGTAAACTTAATTCTCTCAGAAAGCTAAGGACATGGGGGACAACAGGAGAAAAAGAGTAACTACTTTCCCTAAAGCAGAAAGGCCATAGTGGAAAACATCTACCCAAAGCAAAAAGCAAACAAATTAAAAATTAAACTAAAATTGAACCACAGAGAAAAGATGAAAAAATATTACAGTAAAATTTAAAACCCTCTTCCTACTGACTCCTGATGCCTTGATGTTTGTACTGCAACTAGCCAAAATCCCCATGACCTGCTAAGCAACACAATAGCTACAGCTGGCTTAACTTGCATAAAATCAACTAGTTTGAAAACAGGATTAGCTCTCAAAATATGAGAAATAAGTTCAGGTTAAGGCACACAGAACTGATCAAACATTGCCCTACAACTCAGAGCTTGCACTTCCTTGGGTATGTGTTATAGATGAGGATGGCCTTGGACGGCCCTACATGACACTGCAGGCTGTATTTCAGCCATGTGTTCCACAGTCACACCAAGATTGATGTGATCAGTTCTTGAGCATTTCATGAAACAAAAATTGCTCATACATAACACAATATGCTAAGCTTTTATGTCTTTGAATTCTGAATGCATTATGGGGAAATTACTCTGTGCAGCCCAGCCACAAAGAAGCCATTTGACATACCCTATAAATCACCATTCCCCTCCGGACTGGTCTGTAGCAAGTACCCTCAGCAATTTTGACTACTTTGTTCAGAAATGTTCTGGCTATACTTTCCTCAAGTTTTTGGTACCAATTCTTCTAAACCAAATAAATTATACTACTTGCCTCAGCTAACAAGATTTTCTAAGTGCTTATAAGATTACAGTCACAGACAAGCTGTGTTTCTCTAGCCTGGAGACAAAGCAACTGGTTCAAGACAACAAATTCATATTTTCTGTCATTAAGGACCAAAGCCTTGAACACGTTACATCCATCTTTCATTCCTTCTTCTCTGACCTACAAAACTCTACACTAGCCTTCTTTCCAGTCAAGCCTTAAAAAGCTTTAACATTCATCTTCAAGATTCACAGCTCTATAAATTTCCTTTCACACTAAAATAATCTATGTATCTCTCTTAGTTTACCCCAGCCATGATACTTTCTCCCTAGTTTCACAAATCCTCATGCTAAAATTCTTCTCCCCAACCATAAGCCATTTTCAACTCCAAATTTCCTGAAGTGATCACCTATCAGCAATTCACCCAGACTACCAAGTGGCAAACATGTCCTAATACGTCATCTGTGACAAAGCTGAGTACCCGTAATTTAACAAAATTATCTTTATCTTACCTATCCGCACAGCTGTTACATTTCACCATACTCAGAACAGCTCCCATAAGGAAGAACATTAGAATGGGATCCAGCAGAATATACTGAGACAAAGTAATACAGCCTGTATCTGCAAAGAGATACACAACGTCAGAAAGGCTTGTAGTTCCAAAGTGAATCCAGGATTGCAGAAAGCCAGTTTCCTCAGCGTAGTGAGGACAAGGGGAATAAAGGAAATTTTAGAAACAGCAGCAGATCAGAATATTTCAACTTCTACTTGAGTAACAAATACAAAAAAAAACCCAAACAACAACAACAAAACATAAAACACCAACAAAACAAACAGAAAATTCACAAAAACACACGGTAGAACAGTATCTATGAAACACCATTTGGGAAGTGCTGCTAACTTCCACATTCAGTTGGAAAGTGTTACAGATAGCAATGCTCTACCTACTAAGGCACCAGCAAGGTGCCAGCAGATGCTAAAGGAACAGTCATTTTTCAGATGTTACCTATTAAAAAAAAAAATAATGACTTGAGCATTTTAAGTCTCCATGCCTCAGTATCCATGTGTCCTCACAAAACCCAGTCTGGGTTTCTCCACCTGTAATGTTAATTTCTCCACCTGGCTCAATTCAACAAGGAACTTTATTCATTTCTTACTGTGAACTCTTCCCCAGTAATGTTGTTAAATACCTCTATAATTCATATGCGAGACATCAGTATTTCACTTCTGGGCAAAATCATTCCTGTCTGTCTTACAAAAATTCATAGCATTGAGGCAAAATGTAATCTAATGCTGTGGTCATTCAGATAACAGAAGTACCTATGAACTAAAAAAGGTTGTAAAATTCTCAAGGGGACCATCAATTAAAAAGCTTCATATACATACAGCAGAATCACTCTGCTTTTGGCAACCTCTTTCGTTAACCCTAATATCCACTGGCTAGGTAACACACGATAATGCAGAAATTAGATTTTCTTAACAATTAACCTGCTTAATTTTGCTGTAGCAGGAATACCTACCAAAAATAAGGATGAAAGCTGTGAGTAAGGCTGCTGGCAGTGACTTTGACAGTTCCAGCACTGTGAGGTAGACCAATGGAACCAGGCAGGAGCCAAGAAAAGCACAGAACTGCAGGAAAAGATAATGAAAGAAGTTATAATCCTCCCCAGGGTGATTACTACTCCCGTTTCTCTTCCTTCATCTTCCACTCATACCAACAACAGGAGATGCTGCAGTAGCTGAACTGACTCACTTGAGAACATCAGATAAAAGCCAAATGAACAAAGATACTGCTCAGATTAGGACAGCTGCTTAGCCTGTTCTGCAGAGCTGTCAGTAGCAACTCTCTTACTAGAATGCATCACATAGTTATAAAAAGATATGTCAAGTAGGTGCACTACACATCCCCCATACTTAATCTAACAAGATACCAGAATATGAAATCTAAGAACAAAATACACCCGTAACTTACATCTTTAGCAGACCAGTATCACCTCCCCTACACAAATGAGACCAAGGATAGTCAGAAGAGGAAGAACAGAAATCAAAACAAAAGAGAGCAGCATCACAGTAAAATCTGTTCTCTTTAATGTCTGGTTCCAGCACTTCTCCCACCTTTGGTTCAAGGAAATCTAGAACCATAAATTGCTGGAGACCCAGTAACTACACCAAGAAAATACGCTTTTCCAGGTTTTTTTCTTCTTTCTAGGCACTAGCAATTGGCCACTGTTTCTTCTATTGGCTTGTGCTATCCACTGCCAGTTTTACAGCTCTTGGTCTTCCTAGATAGCAGTACAGTCAGGATTTCAGATAGAATACCACTCTGAATTTCCCCCCCTGCTCCATAAGCTTACTAGCTCAGTGTCACTGGTGATGGCAACTGCAGATGGCAGTGGATGATCCTGGCTTTTTGACATCCTTGGCTTCCCTCAGAAGAGCAGCCAGGCACAACAGAGTGAACAGAAGCCCAAGTTCAGCAATGTTCCCTTTGCAGAACAGGCAAGATATCTGTCACACTCAGGAGTGGTCCCACTAATTAGAAAAGAGTTAGCCTCAATAATCACCTTACTTTCTTACCTGTCTAGCCTCTCATAGCCAGACATTAAGAGTTATTCACAATACAACCACTACCACTTTTCCAAAGAGCTTAAAGACAAGGCACAAGGCTAAAAAGACCTCTGTTCTGATCCAGGAGAGCTCTTCTTATGACATAAAACTCTGTACTGAAAAGCACAGGAGAGCTGAACAGCTTGACACCAGCCTGTAGAGCCTTACCCCTCTCATTCCCACGTAGTTGTGCTGCTCATATCTGTCCCCTGGCTTTTGGAAAGGAAATGTACCATCATATCCACTAAGGTAGCCAGCGAGTCCAATCAGCATCTGAAGAGGAAAGGTCAAAAAAACTGGTCAGGGAAATGTCACTGGAGGAAGGAATATCCAAGCCAGCAGCAGGCAAGATTTTTATAGAAGCCAAGTTCCACCCAGAGAATAAGAGAGGATAAGAAGATACTTAATTCAGACGCGTAATTCAAACAAGAGTCTATGTACAGAATTCATACACATACATATTGACCTTTGTCTAAAGGCAAGATCAGAAGGGCTCAAGACTTTGGCTGCTGACTATAAGGAATGAAGCTCAAGAGAAATACCAGGTGGAGGATTTAGCAAAGACAATTCTGTCTCTGTAGATTCTCTCATAGCTCCCTATTCCTATAGTTTAAGGAGGCTCAGCCTGACAGGAAGATAACCTTTACAAGGCAGGAGACACCTTCATCAATACTGCACATTGTTGCTAGAACAAGTTCTTTGACTACAGAATTGCAAGGCAAGGCTTTCAGGGTTCTTTCAGGTCCTTTCCTTTTCAGGGTAAGAATCTCACTTGTACATAAGCTATGGGGAACTGTTTGGTTCCTTTGAACTGCAGGCTTCTATGACACATCCCCTCCAAACCATGAAATTATTTTATTTCAAGCCTTTCAAATACTGAACACGCAACACTGTTCTGTTTTCCCATATTCAGAGTATTTTCATTAAAAAGATAATAGGCAAGTTGAGGTTCTGGCTACAGAATGCAGATTACCATGACACCAACAACAGTTAGGAGTGCTACTGGTGTTCATTATACCCTTCAACAAGAAGGGGAATACTTTTGTTAGCGTATTCCTGTAGATTCTAAGACATGTAACAGAAGAGCAGTTTACCTTCCCTAAAGGGGGATGGACATCAAAGAAGAAGGTCCGATTAATGTAGTAACTTCCCATCTTCCCAAAATGAGTTTCATCCCAACTAAAAACAAACAAATGAAAAAAGCTGCTATAATGATGAAGACAGTAAAAAACCCAAGAAGCATCTTACTTATGCTTTTCATCATTCAGGATATGTGCCGTACACTGGAAATGAGACAGTGCACTAAATTCACTGGGAAATCATGAGTAGTACTTCAGATATTTAAGGCAGGGTCCTTTTTAAAGGGTTTGATACTGGCACTTCACAATCTCTAGCCTACCCTTTCGATTCCAAACTGTGGTAACGGGTGTTAAAAAGTCAGCCTGCAATCCACAGATCCCCAGAGATGCCTGTTCAGTAGTGGGCCTTCCCCCTGTAACACGTCCTGAGAGCAGCGCCGGGAACGGGAGCGAGGCCGAAGCCGGCAGCGGGCTGGCCAGAGAGCACAATGCTTCTTCACGGCCCTCACCGCCTGGATCCCGCCCCACCACCTGCCTACAGTAAACACGATCGTCTTCCCAGCTGGCCATGGCAGGGGCGGGGAAGCGGGGCGCAGGCTGGAAGCTGGGACGTGCTGGATGATCTCTGTTCTAGGGAGAGGCGGCAGACACCCACCCACAAACGGGCTTGGCCCGGCTCGGGCTAGGCCCGTTGATCCCGGGCACAGACCCCGCCCCGGCCCGTACCAGACGTGTGGCGGCTCCGCCAGGCGGTGGAAGCGGGAGGCGAAGCTGAGGAGGGTGACGAGGGCCAGCGCCGCCGGGCGAGCCGCTGCAGGAGGGGCTGCGGAGTGTGGCGGCAGCCGGCTGGGCTCCCGGAGCTCCCGCTGCCGCGGAGGGCCCGGTTCGGCCTGGCCTCTCCCCGCTGCCGGCATCAGCAGGGCTGTGCTACTCGCAGCACCGGGGCCGGGAGCGGCGCAGCCCAGGGTACGGAGTCCGGGGCGGGCGAACAGGCCGCGGGGCACGCATGGAGATGTAGTCCTGCAGCGGCAGCGGTCGAGCCCGCGGGCGAAGGGAGGGCCCTGCCGGGGCGGGGCCCACACTGCAGCACCCGCGGAGGGTCGGGGAGCAGGATGATCGCTGCCGCACCCAAGGTACGCGGCTTCTGCGCTCTCTGCGGAACGTGCCCGCCGGGCGGGAAGGGAGCGGGGTCTGTGGCTGGGCCAGAGATAGAGGAAGCGAGGCTTGGCGCGGAGGCGTTCTGGTCTGGGCCGGCAGGGCCGGGCCTTGCGCGGTGCGGGTTCTGCTGGCCCGGGCTGCCCGGGGTGGCGGTGACCGCGAGGCCTGCACCGCCTTGTACGGCGTCTGTTAAACAGGTTCGCGCAGTCCCGGCCTCACCCAGCTCTGTGTCTCAGTGGAAAGCAAGGAATTTGCCCGCACTCTAAATAAAACTAATGCTTTTCAAAGCAGTGGTGGTGGTTGCTTACAGTAGTAAGTTAACTGATTGTAGTAGTTGAGCTGTTAATGTCAACACCTCCTGAAGGGATACAGAAACCCATTCCTGCTTATGCCTTCTCGTTTTAACCCAGCATAATACAAGCACTGCCTTTCAGACACTGAAGTTTCCCCTGTGCAAGCCTCCAAGGAGCAGTTTTCTCCCTCGTGTCTCAAGAAACAGGTGAAAAAAAGATTTTGTGTTTCCAAGTGCATCCCAAATACAGGCTGGAAAGAGGCTGGTATCCAGAAACCATACTAAAGCAGACAGGTTTGGAAACCTGAGAGCTACACACACAAAGTTAAGGGTGTCTCTTCTGTCTTCCTCATCAGTGAAATGCATTTCCCAGATTTTTACTCAGGACTGGGACTTGGGCCCAAATTTTCCTCAGTGCAGCCCTGAAGTTGGAAGTGAAAGCAGAAATCTTAGTAGACATCAAGCAAATTTGTCCTCCTATCTTCCCGGTTCCAACCAGTCTAACCTGCAGCTTAAGGGGATTAACTCCGCTTAGAACCCCGTACTTCATGAGGTTGTAAGTGGAGACAGTTCTTCCCCATTACTTCCCTGGCCTGTGCTCAGCTCTTCCTCCAGGGAAGACTAGATAGAATGTCACTGTGTCTCAGCAAACCTGTCCACTGAGAACAAAACACTCATTGTCTGTAGTCTTTCCTTAGCTGATTGTTCTGTCTGTGGTCTGCCCTTCTGCAGGGAGCAAAACAGCATAAACTTAAGCAATCACTCCAGGCCCCAGCCTCTGGAGACACATTTCCCAGCTAAAGGATTAGTTGTTTTTCTGTGTTCTTTTTTGGTGAGATCCCTCAGGGCCTTGAAATCATAGAGCAAAGCAATTAGCTTAGCACAATTTAGCACAGGCTGCAAAAACAACAAAGAACACTAAGAGATCAGGATAAATGTCTCTGCCAGCTGAGAGGACAGAGTCTGAAACAGATGTGGTGAAGGACATGAGTTTCTGAGCTAAAAAAAAATCAGCAAGGTCCCCAGGGAAAACAAGTAAAAATAGCATGTCATGAATGCTCTGTGTTTCCCTTTTGATGTTACAGTTTATGTTTCTTTCCCTGCAGGCCAGCAGGCTGGACATTTGAAAATAAAAGGCACAGCTAAGATTTCTAATGCCCAGGTTCCAGAAGAAGAGAATTAAAGAAAACCAGTAAATAACCTTGTATATGAAAGTGGTGTCAATACTGGCATCACTTCCCTCCTCACTTAAAAGCCATTTCTCCAGTAAACTTCAACTACACTAATTTAATCAAATGCATACCTTGTTTAAAGTAGTTTGAACCAATCTACACTGTAAAAGAAGCATCAAGTTTACAGGGCACTGGAGCATAGAGATCCTCAGGGTGTCTCTGGTTTTCTGTTGACAAGATAGCCTGTCAGTGAGGATATCCCTTCCTTTTTCTGCCTTGCTGTCAGTCTCTGGTATCATTTCTATGCATTTTGGGACGGTGGAGATACAGAGAAAGAGACACGCATGAATACCAGTTTCCTGTGTGGAAAGAAGACAGCTTTGTATTATGCACAAAGTTGGCCTGGGAGCAGAGTAGCAGCCTCTCACAGACCTGCAACATAGAAAACCATCAGCACCTGCTAGTACTAATGGGAGGAGGGCTATAGGGGTAAAGGCAGTCCCTGTTCAGAGAGCTGGCAGTGGTTCCCTAGTAAAACAGAAATTCTGCATGTGGCTTCAGTTTCCGTGTTTTGTTTCCCAGGGCAATCTATATTTCTGCACTGGCAACTGCTGGGAACCTGACAGGCTCTTTAGATACCTTATTTGTTTCTGGACAAACAGCTAGGGAGATAAGGGTTGTTCCTAAATATGCTTCCAAACTCAGAGCTGGTTAATGGTTCTGATATCAGGACTGGGCTACAGCAGGATGTGGATGCAGCTGACTGCTGTTGCTCAAGATTGAATCTAACTGGCCGGTTTTTGTGTTCTGGGTGCGGATTTGTGAGCACAGTCCTTTCCCATTGGCTTTATGAGATAAACCTTCCCCCATTTCCACTGAGTTAAAAGGGAAAGTGAAAAGGTTGGTTCTATTTCGTGGAGTAGATTGCACGCACTGACCATGGCATCTGAAAAGGTGAGAGCTTTGACAAGGTGGTAGCGTCTGGGAAAGCTGCCTCAATGCTAGAGATAAAGTAGAGATGAATTGTGTGCCTTCTCGGCCTTAGTCTCAAACAGCAGGAGCTCTTCTTGTTTGGAAAGAGGCCTGGCCCTGCCCTCAATAGCTGGAAAAGCTGTCTTAATGGCACGCCAATGCTCAGTGCGGGTGCTTGTCACAGTGTGTGGGGAATTTGTTTCAAAGATCTAAGATGGGATAGAAGTCAGCAATATCCAGTAGGAACAAAGAGGAAAGCTTTGTAAGAAAGAATTCTAAGGACACTTGCGCACTGCTGGAAACATCAGGTGTAACTAAATATTCAGAGGGCCAACGTGAAAGACAGTGATATTACCTGTACACCCAAAACAGGAACAGCCACTTTCAGAAAGGAGCCTTCTCTCCCCAAAGCATTGTGCTTCTCTGTTTTACAGTTCTTGAAATGTCTTCTGTTCATGTGTTGTTCTGCTTACAAACTAGGGTGTTCTCACCAAATAACCACTCTATCTCTCTGTTCTCAGCCAATACTTTATAGCTATTTCCGAAGCTCCTGCTCTTGGAGAGTGAGAATCGGTAAGATCTAGTGATCTCTCTTTCGTTGTCTTGGTGCTTTTGCAGTATCCTCCCCTTCACTAATCTGATTAATCGATCACTTATTGAGAGAACAGCAAACATGAACCCGGAACAGTGAGGCACTTTCCCCAATGGGAGGAAAGGGAATGTCACACTTCACCTGGAACGGGGGCGGGGGGGGGGGGGAAAGGAGAATAGACAGGAGGGCTTTGTTCAGCCTGCAGCTAAGAGGGAAATAATTGCTTTGTAAAACCAATGTGATGCAGAGGGCTGTTTCTTCCACATTTTCTAGAGGGGCCCTGCACTTTGTTTTTACAGAGATAACTGCCTCAGACTCTGGTCTTGAAATTGCAAGGTCTTGATTGCTGAGCAGGGCTGGGAACGGTCCCTGTTTGTACTGAGACAAGCAACGTTTTGCAGGTGAGCACAGAGCTCCCTGCCTTCTCTAAGCCAAATCAGGACAGGCTGTGCTGCAAAGAGTGGCAAAGCTTATGCTGGAAAATGCACTTGTTTTACCAGTACTGATCTTTAGTGCTTTGGTCCTTTATTTGCCAGAGCACTAGCTTCTCAGTGGACTGAGGACACTTTTCTTGAAGGATAGGGTCTTTTTTGGTTTAAACACCATTCTTTCTTCACATGGAGATGGTAGCATTTCCCTGAGTCCGTTATCAATTAAACTGGTCTCTGTGCCTGTCTGAAGCTGTATACTCTGCTCTCCCTAGCACTTGCTCTGAAAGGGATTTCGTATGACCTGGTGCCAGTGAACCTCCTCAAGGATGGGGGGCAGCAGGTAAGGGTATATCTACCATTGCTTTATCCAGGGGTAGTGAACTTGGGGATCATGAGACGAGTTGCGATTAGCACTAGAAAGTTCACAGGCGAAGTCACTGAATTCCTCGCCGCTTCTCTGTAATTCATAGTTGTAGCCAGTTGAGCCTCTCAGAGGGCCTGCCAAAGGAAAGGGTGGGTTGCCAGAATAGATATTCCTCGGGGGGCCATAGTGGGGAGTTGTGCGCCTAGTAGCACCACCAGCATGATGTGCCAGTATGGGCTAAGATGAAGAACAGTAACAGTAATAATGACACTGCTGCAGTACCACCCATCCTGGGCTTGTATTGACAGTTTATCAAGAGGTAAGGAAGTCTGGCCCTGGATGCAGATCCCTGAGCCCCAGTGAGTTTGCTGGAGGCTATCAATACAGCTAATAGTACTGCAAATATTAATACTGAGGTAGAAAGAAAAGCCAGGTTAAAAAAAAAAAAAAAAACTGGGTTGGTTTAGAGAAAGAAAACACAGAAGAATTTCTTGTTGCAGTAATCTCAGGGTTTGTTTCCACAGTTTTCTGCTGAATTCAAGGCAGTGAATCCAATGCAGCAAGTACCAGCCTTGAAAATTGATGGCATCACCCTTTCTCAGTCGGTGAGTTACCAGCTACATCCCTGTTAACCGTTCAGTCCAGCCTGCTGCCCAGTCTGGAGGGGATGGCTCTGCCCCATCTTTTCCCTGCACACTCTCATTTGTGCATTGGAAAAGAGGTGTGATTTATGATAAACAAACCCACTTGGGGGCAGAAATAGCACATAGACTCTGCTGGGAAATTCCTGTCATGATGGTAAGCTCAATTCAGCTTTGGTTTGTAACTCTACTTTTCACTAAACAATTTATAGTCTGACTTAAATGGCCATGCCAGGTTTGCCTGAAATTACAGCTGGGCTAAATGACAAGAAGGCCACAAGTGGACATCAAAAGGGATATTCTGTTGCTTGGATCAGTAACAAACTTCATGAAAAAGCCGTTGTATTCTCTTGGATCAGCAACCCTTCCCCAGGTACTAAGAAAGTGAGCTTTTCCTTATCTTTCCAATAATCTCCCTTTACCTCTTTGTTAATTACAGCTAGCTATAATTCATTACCTAGAAGACACCCATCCTACCCCCAGGCTCCTGCCCCAAGACCCAAAGAAGAGAGCTCAAGTCAGAATGATTGCTGATCACATTGTTTCCGGCATTCAGCCACTCCAGGTATTGTCTTGTCATATCCGTGCAAATGGAAAAGCCAGGATGGGTATCCAGGAGTCTGCAATACCTCTGAAAAATTCAGTATCTTTAAATTGTTGCCAGCCAGTAGTGTGGCAGACCTTAAGACTGTTGGCAGATGAAGTCTCTGCTTAGCCTCTGCCTGATCTGCCAATGGCAACAATATAGTTATTTCCTGCAAAGAAAATCTGTAGCACCCCAGGGTTCTTTCCAGAAACAGCTGAACCCATATGGTTCCACTGCTGGGTCTACGATGTTTTAGGGGGAAGACAACTGACAACCCAAAGGGCAGAGGCAAAGGGATAGATACCCTGGCAGCTGTTACAGAAGGACAGTCCCAAATCAGAGGTACAGCAGGGTGCCTGATTTGGTGAGGGTGAGGTCAGGGCTGACCTAGCAGGCTGAACTCGGGCTGGGGGTTCAGACTTGGCAACTTATCTCCCTTCTCTTCCACTGGATGAGGCAGTGGGCAAGATCCTGCCAGCAGCAGTCAATCTAACCTTGAGATTGCTTATCTTTGCAGAACCTGAATGTCCTGAAACAAATAGGGGAGAAAAAAACTGAATGGGCTCAGAACTGCATTGCGTCTGGCTTTCAAGGCAAGTCCCATGTCCAAAAATATCAACTGGCTCTTCAAAATGCTGCACTGCTGGGGTCCTACTTTCCTCTACAAGCAGAAAAACAGATCTCCCTGGGCTGGTGCAGTGACGGCACTCTTCCTGCCCAGAGTTCCTTCCTAAGGATTGGTTGTTCTTCAAGCTCTCAGAGGAAAGGTGCTGTCCATAGGGTGCTTCCACTGCTGCATATGGAAGAGGGGAAGCCTGGGGTCATCCTATGCACCACAGCAGTTGATTGTCCGTGAAGCACAAGGGCTGACAGCACTTCTTTCCACCCAGCTGCTCCCAAACTAGTACCTTTTGCTTAAAAGTTCTGTCATGTCAATCTGTATTTATATGCTTTTGTAATCAGACAAAAGGTATCTGATGGCAAACTCCCACAGAATCTAGTACGTAGCACAGTATTTTTTTACCTCCCCAGGAGAAATAGGGTGCTTTTTGTTTCCTCAAAACCTTTTCCCACATGTGCTGCAGTGGCAGGCCCATCTTCTCTTCTGGACAGACCCAAACTGATCCTGAAAACTCCCATATTGTTGTAAGATTTCTGTTCCTTTTAGGCTCTGCCCCAAATTGCCCATTTTTCATACTCATCTTAGGATTAAAATGCCTTTGTTCATAATGCCCAGTGTGAAGGGTCTTTGGTGTCCCTTTCAAATGAGTTCCTAATGTCTCACACCAGTGTACCACCTTTCTTGACAGCACTTGAGCAGATTCTGCAGCACACTGCTGGGCACTACTGTGTGGGGGATGAAGTAAGTATCTGAGCAAACATTATAAACCACTGGAGAACTGACAAGCCCAGTATGTATTCCATAAAATAAGAAAGAAAATTAGTTGTGGAGACACAGCACAACCCCCTTCTGTGATTGGAGTTGCATGTGGTGCATTCACAGTAAGAAAAAGCTGCATGGATCCTACTTAGGCCATTACTGACTTGCAAATAGTTACAGAGATGTTTACTTGTCCCTGCCTGTAACCTGCTGATAGCCAGATTCTGCAGCTGTATCTAGGATCTGACTGCTACTAGAGGATGGGGAAACAGGTTATATATATTTCATCTTTAAGAGATCTGGAGTTCAAAGTGTCCTGTCATAAGGTCAAAGCTTGGCTCAATAAACAGGTTCATTTCTTAGCTCTGCTCTGTGGAACCTTTAACCAAGTTGTATTGTATTTTTCTGCACTGTCTGACCCATTCTAACATGGTCAGCTTTCAGAGCGCTCACATACAAGCTGTTCTGACCCTTGCCAAGCTAAAGGCCACTCAGACCTCTGTCCTGTTTGGTAGGCAGTTGGATCCTTTCTATAAGACCTAAGAAAAAAAAAAAAAAAGGAAGAGTCCCGCACTATCCTATGGTGCATAGGATTGTCTAGTAGGAACATTATGGAACTGGAGCCTTTGATAGGCAAAGGCTAATTACATGATCTTATGCTGGTGAAAGGCACCCAGGGCTTTGTGACATGGGGAGTAGGGTGAGGGCAGCTGCCTGTGTGCAGATAAGCAGTTAGCTGTACTGTCCTTGGTTCTTTTCAGATTGTGAGTCCCTGGGCCTGTGTCTGAAGGTGCTATCATGTATCATGTCTTGACATTGGCAGGAGCTGCCCGATACTCCTGCAATGCAAACAAGCAAAATTTACTCATCTTTTCCCAGTCATGCAGACTTTCCCCTCCTTCCATCACCTTCCTCTGCAGCTTGTCAGCAGACTTGTTTACTCAGAGGCAGTTGCCATAGAGCATCATGTCCTCAAGGTTGTCATGATCAGCTGGTAAATGTGAAGCTCCCTAAAGGCTAATGGGTTTTTCTACTAGTGACTGCTATGAAGTTCCTTTCCTTGTACCACTGTCATGTTATTAATGCTAGATTAAAGAACAAGATTGTCATGACAGCTCCTCTGTACTGGCTAATACCATAATTTCTATCCTGCTCTCAAAGCCTGCCACCACAATGAAGAATGACGGAACAGGCTCATACTCTGACGCCTTTTCTCTGCTACATTTACAGGTTTCAATGGCTGATCTGTGCTTGGTACCTCAAGTTTTCAATGCCGAAAGGTAAGTAAGGCTAAGCTTGAGGAACTCTTCAAGGGCACCTACCCCTTGTCCTGGGCTGTCAGAGTTTACCTTCTGCACCTTGTGCCTGTTACAAAAGCATTCCTCCTGCCTGCCCTATCCAGTTATGGATTCTTCTCTGCATTAGTTTTACTATGCCATAAATACTGTCTCTTTTGGAAGTTCTTGGAAATAAGGAGCTGTGCTGTCTTCTCAGAGGCCCTTGGGGGAAACCTGATCTGTATCCTTAGGAAAGTTAAGGTTTCCTGCATTGCCATGTCCTCTCTCCCTGTTTGCCCTACATTTATACACTGCACAGTGGGGAAATATTAATCTATTTGTTGAAAGCCTTAAACCTATGCACATAGTGGTTGCATGATTTCCAGGAAAAGCATAGTGCCTTCTTACCCTGTGCTGCACACTATGTAAAGCCCAGTGATGATAGAAGATCTAGCGTCTGGTTTTAAACCTACAGGGATGAACCTTTTCTCTTAATGCAAATGTACATTTGCATTGTAAGATTCTTCCATGCTGGGAAGACACAGCACACTGCTCTTCTGCTCACTGCTGCACTGGCTATCCAACTCATAGTTCATCACAAATTCTTTTCCCTTTGCAGATTCAAAGTGGACATGGGTCCTTATCCCACAATAACTAGAATAAACAAAGCTCTCCTGGAGTTAGAGGCATTCAAAGTAAGCCACCCATCCCGGCAGCCAGATACTCCTGCAGAGCTACGAGCTTGAAGTCCTGTCCTACTCATTAAATCAAGTAAGCTGGAGTGTCAAAGAAGAAAACAGCTACAGCTTGAGTAGGACTTCAGTGCCATCAGGAAGCCCTAGTACTATTGCCTCACTTTCATTTGGTTGGGAAGAAGAACAGACCTAGAAGTAGCCTGGATGACATACAGGAGCTATGCCTGTGCTGGAAAGCTTGCAGCTACTTCTGGCTATGTTTTTTTCTATCTGATGTATCTCCATGGAGCAGATTAAACCAGAAGGATTCATAATTATCACAAGTTCCCTTTGTATGGCTTTGAGTTGGGGAATGTGGCCACAGAGAGCTGTGAGGTATTGCGCCAATTCTGGACTCCCCATGGGACTTCTTTACTGTCTACAGAAAGCACATCAGGGAACCAGTGTAACAGTGTGCTGCTAATCTAGTAGGCCTGCTTGTCACTGCAGCTGCTGCAGAGCTATGGCATAATCAGCAGTGGATATAATGGATATAAATAGAGCTAGTCTCCAACAGGAGACAGCTTAATCCTAACCCTTGTTGGGTCTCACGGGTCTTGCAAGAGCAAACAGTCGGCAACTCTGCCACCCCTTGCAATGACAAGTAAATTACTACCAAGGACAATTGATTTGTACCGCTTATGTCTAGCGGCAGTCTTGTGGAATTTATAATAAAAGGTCTCTCTAGAGCAAAGCTAGGTGGTTGTGCCACAGCTGGCAAGACACAACCAGCTCTCTCCCATACACTGAAAATGATAGCATTCTCTTCCTTTTACCATCCTCAGACACTGCACTAGGTGTTTTCCTAACACTGTTGCAGGCTATTGCCCAAGGGAATTCTATCCCAGATTTCCTCCAAACCAGAATCATGCTTTTACCTCACTGTGAGGACTTTTCCAAGCAGCAGGTGTAAATCCCATTGCACTCATCCCAAATAAAATCTGAGTTACCTTCAGAGCTGGAAGCATCCTGGGAATTCCAGCTCCAAAACCTGTAGGGCAAGAAGAGAAACCCAGAAGCATGTGACTGTGTTCCTCTGCAGACTCACCTCAGATCCCACTGAGTGTTTTAACACCCAAGCCCACATACCAAAGCCAGGGACATCAGAGGGGATTTCTGCCAGTCCAATGCTGGCTTAGCTACCCTAAGAGGGAAATACCCACAGCCTTCAGAAAGGCTTTACAAACCCACAATCTCTTGTGTCATGAGAGCATTCACCTACATACAGATACTTGGACTGCCACATTGCTTGGACTCATTTATTGCAGTCCATGTCTGTATTCAGGCTGGTGAAGAGCCTTTGCTGTTCCAAGGCTTATTCTGGGTATTCTGCATTATCCTAGGTCCAGCTGGATCTTGACTGTGGTGTTGTAAAAGGTCCCGACACAGTTGGAGCCCCCAAAGACCAACACTGTGTGCAGATTGTGCTCCTTTTTATTCCCCTTGTCCACATCATTCAGGGAGGCAGGAGTCAGGTCAAGCAATGTATGGCCAGCTCGGGGCACAGAGCAGAGGTCATGGTGGATCACCGTGCTCCATGAAAGAGTATCTGAAAGAGAAAGGGCTATCAATATTGACAAGCCCATTCCTAGTGCAATGGATGAAACAAATGGACCAGACTAGGTGTTCAGAAACATCACTGCAGCCCATAGTCAACTTCAGCTGAGGAAACGGGTAGGGAGAGTCACTCACCTAGGTGGAAGACAAAGGCATCCTGCAGGGCTCCCGTGGCATTGCAGCCTCCACTGATGAGAACCTTCTGGCTGGACACAGCCAGAGCTGCATGAAAACTGTGACCAAAGCAAAGCCAAAGGCTGACTACAGCATAACCTGCTGGGGTTTTCTCAGTCAGCAATGGGTGGGGGGGACATATTTCAGCAGGAGGGTGGGGGCTTTAGCTGAAGAATGAAAGTTTATTTCTGCTTCTTTTCTGCCCTGATTTGCTGAATAACCCTGAAAGAGTTGTTTGTTTGCCTCTGCAGGTCAGGCCATAATCAAGCTTGAAAAGCTCCTCATTATCTCAAAAGGAGCTATCAAAACTCCTATGTTTTTGCTCTGTGGAGTGCAACAGCAGGCTAGCTGGGCTTTGGTATGATTTAGATTATTGTTCTAGTGGGCAAGGGCTTTAGGAACAGCATAGTCCTAGTACAAGAGTTTCTCCCTCTCTGTGTGTCTGTTGTACCCCAGGTACTGTGGAGACCAAACAGCAGGCAATACACTTCACTAGCACATGGCAGAAAACTTCTCCTAGCCTGAAAGGAGAGGAGACTAGGGAGCCTAAGGGGTCTGTACCCCCCAAACCCTACAGGCACCAACTAGGATAGCACAGGAATTTCTGGTCCCACAGCAGAGGGGCCATCCACTGTATTTTGACTAGTGGGGTAGATACACAACTAGATCTGATCACAAGCACCATTCAAACCTGGCTTCAAAAAGGACAGAGAAAGAAGATAGTTTCTATCTGCAATAGGATCTTACCAACGTGCAGAAGGCTGTCCTGTGAGGAGAGGGACTGGTGTGTACTCCATGAAACCTGACAGCCAGGGGAAAGGCAGGTGAAATGTCAAAAAAATCCCAGCCTCATAACTAGACAAAACCTTCCATAATCCTTCACATCAGCAACCTGCCTTATTACCCAGCTTCTTCCAAAAACACAGCTTCTTGTTTTTCCCATTCCCTCCCCTCACACCACAGGAAGGTGTTTTGGCTGGTTGGTTGGGTTTTTTTACCCCATAGTTTTCCATCTCCATTGTCTACTCAGTTTTTATAATGTCAATGGCACCTCCCCATCTAGCATGCCTCATTCCAAGTCCCTGCCTTAGAACAGCCCTTCCCAAGGCAGCCGTCTTACCCAGATCTAGGATGTGCATGTCACTGAGGTAGAGAGAAGCCCTCCGGCCCCCAAAAATCAGTAGTTTGTTCTTCAGTAGAGTAGCTGAATGCCTGGGCAGGGAAGCAGCAAGTGAACAAAGCATCTTTAGCAGTTCCCAAAACCGATGTTTCAGCCTTTGCTACTGCTGTTGGGCTGCCTGCCATAGCTTCAGTCTACACCTGCCTCTACTGCCCAAGGACAGAATCCCATCAGGATTCATGACAGGAGGTACTGGGAGTCACATTGCTCAAAACATAGCCCTATCTTAATAAGAAAACAGTGGAGAACAATCACGTAAATATTTAGGAAATTACACTGGTGTGGGAGGGAAGGTGAGCAGAGGTTTCCTGCTCTATTTTGGAGGGCTGGAATAAGAGCACTCTCACCCAAGCCTAGGCAGAGGCTTCTCCCCTTCCGAGATGGGCTGATACCAAATTTCATGCTCTGGATTGAAGATATAGAGCACATTGCTGCAGGGTCCAACTGCCATCGATGCCTTCTGGGGGGAAGTCCCTCCAAAAACAAAAAGCTCCTTGCAGTAGATAGTTGCACTGTGGTAAGTGAGCACTGGCATCCTCCCTTTAGCCTGGAGAAAGTTTAACATACATTTGTTACAAGAAGTGTATTATTTGCTGCATGACCTGTAGGAAAGGGGTCATGCAGTGAGTTGGGCAAGTCTCAATTTTCACTGTATTGAACTCTTAGGCCAGATCTTTGCCACAGAGGTAGGCAGTACATCATTTGAGTACTCTGCACCACCAGAATGCTCTGATGGAAGAAGGAACATAACTTCCTAGCCCAGCTTCCTCAGAACACATCAGAGAACTGAATGAACTCATCCAGGCTTATTCTGTAAAAGCCACCTTCTGACTTAGCCAGGAAAGAGACAGATAGTCCCTTGCTAATGAGGCTCCCTGCAAGGACATGACAGCAACTACAGAGCTCTGAGCAGTTCCTGTGCTTAGAGCAGTCCCTGTGCTTAGAGCAGTCCCTGATTTGAGATCAGCTTTTCACCTCAGCGTCCAGCACAGCTCTCAACAGCACCATACAAAATAAGAGGCCATTTCCCTCTGACACTCATACAGAACCTTCCTCCCACAACCTCAGTCAGACACAGCACTCTGCAGCAGCCATTTTTTCACCTTGCTTCACTCATTGTAGGCACAGCCCTTGGTTTCTGCCAAGCTTGTAGCCTTTCAACATAGCCTTTTTATATCTGTCAATCCCAACTAAGCAGCTCAGACGACCTGCAGGAGCAAGGGACCAAGATTACTGGAATAAGGATACGGGCATATCGATTGCCACATTCAGGCAGGTCCTGCCACCCCTCCTGTGCTCATGTCTTGGAAGAGCTGCAGTACTTACAGCAACAAGGAGCCATTTCCAAGTGACTGTGTCCAGAATGTAGATGCTGCTGTTGGTTTTGCCCTCCCTTATGCCCCCGAAGATGTAGATACGCTTGGTCTCTGGGTCATAGGTAGCTGTGTGTCCATGCAAGCACAATGGCATGGCATTCTGTAGCTGGAAACCCACTGGAAGCCAGAAATCACTGTCTGTGGAAGCAAAACCAGATAAATGGTGTAGGAGTTCAGAGATGCTCTTGATTTCTCCAGATTTAAAGAACATGTCATAAAATCTGTACTCAAGATCCTGCTCCCTTCATCTCCTCCTCCCCTTTGATTCAGGGTTAGAGGAGACTCTTACAGAAATGTTTCTGTGTAAATAATGCAGGAGAACACTCACTAGGTGGGGAATAGTAAGGTGGAAGAGAGGATCAGTGAGATGCAGAAAGGTGAAAGGCACTGGAATGGTATTTCATGATTCTCCACCAGTAACCGCACATAGACTGTGTACCCTTTAAAATTCACCCAGCTCTTTCCAGAACTTATACCTTAGCTCCTGGAAGGCTCTCACACACAACTCCACAGCTTCTCATGGCAGCCTATATTGTCAACTCAGCCTGCTGACCCATGTTAGGAGATGTAACACCTTTGCACAAACCCCTGAGTACCCCTCCCACCTGCATGAGTTGTCTCAGGTCCCACTGCTCCCATTGCTTTTGATAGCCCTGAAGTTCCCACCAATTTCCATCTTCCAGAGTGCATCCTTGCAGGGCTGCTGATCAACACCTTCTCCACCAATGAGAACAGCTGTCCCCAGGTCACTGAGGCACATGGCATGGCACCACCGTGGGCTGGGACTGCCTGGAGAGGGGAGAGCACAGGGCTGAAATCAGTCAGGTGAGACACCCCCAGCTCCCTTTCCTGCTGGGAAAAACAAGGCAGCTGGAGGCTTCGAGGGCAGAAGCGGGAAGGCAAGGGCCTCACGTCACTTCCTTCTGGTGTGGCAAGAGACAAAGCTGCCTGAGGAAGATTTGCTATTTGCTTTGGGGAAGAATTGCCTTAC